TAATACACATCAAACAGGGTTTGTCTATCATGGATAGACAAAAGCAGATAACTTTAAACATAAACACTTTAAACATCATGGAACATTTTTAATTTTATAAACAGAAAAAACCTTTGATCGGGTCCTCTGGCCATAAATCTTAGAATCATCTAAAGGATATGGCTTCCATGATACATTTATTATTTGGCTTAAAGCTTTCTATCAAAATCCAAATGTATCGTTTAGAGTCAATCTGGAACAATAGCACAAGCTATTGATCTGTGTAAAGGAAACAGGCAGGGGTCCCTTTGTCTCATACTTTTTTGCTCTTTAGCATCAAACTTATTATATAACAGAGAGAGAGATAGAAGGGGTGACCACAGCAGATAGAGGCATTTATTCTGGATGACTCAGGTATGCTTTCAGTAAAAAACTAAAAAATTTATCGGAAATGGGAGAATTAAACATCTCGACGCTGGCATCTCCAAGAAGCCAGAACTTTTATTTAAATGAAATATCAGGAATCTAAAGTTTAAGTTTTAGCTTAAAGAAGAAAATTAGACCTTTACTGGCTGGTAAAATTGTGTGTGTTAATGTGATAAATGTGCTTCCTTTTTATTTCTCTTTCAGATGCTCCTCTTATTCTTATTTTCTCACAAAAAATTTTATTAATGTATTGGGTTCTGGATTGGATTCACCTATGATGCTCACATTATGTTATGTTTTTTTTTTTTTCCATGTATATTGTTTGTTCTCCATGATACAAAATAATTTTATCAAAGTACCAGAAATTCATTAAAAATAAAAGGTTTTAAGTAATCTCAGTTAGCTACATTCAGACATTATAAACAAGAAGAATTACCTGAAAGTTTGTTACTTACCAGAGCTCTGCTGCAAATTCTCAACATTGTGTTTTCAAAGAAATTCCTACAGATGGAAGCTGAACACTATTTACCAAATAAAATGTGTTTTAGGCATACAGATTGTGATGCATGGAGAAGAGCTTCTGCTATATGAGAGGAGTTGGTAACCACTGCTCTCCTGCCAGACATCAGAGACTCTGTGGGATTAACTGAAAAAAAGGCTTGTTTGAACTCCAAACAGCCTAAAGTAAATTTGTCTTTCACACTTTGTCTACTTTTGTTACACAGACAGACACAATCATTAGCCATGAAATAACCAAACTTTCAGTCTCTGCAAAGATGTCTTATGACGGAGCATTGTCACTTTGGTTGAGTATGCATTGTGACTGTGAAGGAGCCTGACTCTCTGAGACTGACAGGAACCAACGCCCATCGTTCACGGGACTGACACATGAATACTTCAGAGTTAAGACTTGGAAACAGCTCTGAATGATGTAGCATTAATATCCTCAGTGAGACAGTGTTAAGTAGCAGTGTTTCTCTTATTCAGAGATCTTCAGGTAGCATGTTTACCAGAGTCTATGCCTGTTCTTCTGGATAAGGAGAGTAGAAGTGACCCCAAGGCTTTTGGAGCCATAAGCAGGATATGGTCAGCCTTCTTCCCCTCCTCTGTACTTGTGCACTTACAAACGCAAGTGATAGATTCTCCAGTATAGTACATTGAAGAGTAAGACAAGAAACCTGCAAAATATTTAAGGAAACATCTATACTGCTTGTGCCCTGAAAGAACAGCTGGTAAAATCAAGTTTGAAATGAACAATAAAACTTGTATAAAATGTGAATGAAGCCCGGTTGATGTGTCAAGCCACCTGTGACAGCACCCATGTGTCACTCAAAGCGACAATACCCTTAATAATCATTTTAAGCCCTAATATAATTTAAATGGTTGAATCACAAAATGCAGGAGGTTGAGGCTTGTTTCAAAGCTGAGGCTGTAGGACTAGCACAACTCTCAGAAAGTGAAAACACTGTACTTATCATTTTTAATGTGATTTATTTGAAAAATGATTGATTAGTACAGTAACTCTCACTGATGATGCAGGATGACAACTGCCTAACTGTCAACAAGTTATCTGTAAGTCACGTCATGTTTACCCGTCTTGGTTCGTTTATAAAACGTCATGAACAGGTTTAGAACTAAAAAAATGCAGATCCAGGTCTGGACCAGATGAACCGAACTACAGGTGTGAAACAATAATCAAAGTTTTAATAAAGTGGCACACTAGAGGTGTAAGGAAATGTAAACAAAATCGTCGTAATAAAATTTGGCTACCTAAGCCGTAAAGAATGAATCAGTAACCAATGTCCAGGAGAAAACAGCAATCTGCAGGAACAAAAGAGTTTTTGAACATGAACACAGACCATAGAGACAACAAAGATTCTTGTGAAGGGAATAAAAAATTTTCTGGGAAGCAAGTTGTTTATAAGTATACAGAACATGAGACTATTGAACCGTTTCCATGCCTGTCTGAATCACTATGAAACTTCACAGTCAGCGAGACTAGGACCATAGAGTCTACTTCAGCTTGTGTCAGGTTAGTTCAGCAATAGTTTGGCATTTTGGAAAAAGTGCTTTTTTTTTAAAAATTTGCTTTCTTGCTGAGAGTTAGATTAGAAATCTATAACCCTCTCATATCTGTTTATAAGGCTACAGTCATCAATGATTAGCTTAATGCTCAGAAACAGCTGTATTTCTAAAGGAAACTTAAAAAGGAGTTCCGTGCCAAGTTCTAGTTCATTTTTACATATGAGCAATAGAAAGCACCTCACCGGAAATTTCATCAGCTTACATGGGATGTGCACGACCCAGGCTCTGCAGCAGGTGATTAAAACCTGCAGAAGATAAGTAGCACCTGAGCATCAGATATCGGTGAGGTGAGGTGCCTGCACAGAGGCAAAGGATACTAAAAGACAGTACCCACCCAGCGAAAGCCTCTTCACCCTACTGCCATCTGGCAAGAACAGTATTCACTGTCGCACCATAAGACATCGGAACAGTTTCTTCCTTAAGGCTATCAAACTCCTTAAAGCTTAAAATAAAATAAAAAGTACAGGAATCAACAGACAGCAATCAATAAATCAAATTAGCTCTGACACAAAAATGAAAAAGAATCTGGTTTCTGTGGATGCCGTATGACTGAAATAAGGACCAAATGAAATGATTTGCTGGCCTCATTGCACATGGAAATGTGTTTTGAGGGAGTGGTTTTGGAGGGAGACCTGAAAGAAGGGGTGGGATTTTTTTTCAGTTTGATACTTTCAACTGAAAAAACCCTTGCCCAACACGTTGCCTTCCCCAGCTTTAATTCATCCGCAGCACTCCACCATGTAAAATAGTTTTATTTCCATGACCTATAATGTACCTTGTAGTTCAGCACCAAGACTGGAAACAATTCCACCCACCAGCACCTCTAACACTCACTATTTAACACGTCTTTTTAATTCATACAAAAACTGAAATGTAAAAAAAACAACAACTTGTGGTTTTATGAGGAGCTATGCTAACCGGCTGCAGCCTTCCATTTAAAACGACAGACATGAGAGTGGTATGATGTTGTCATCCAACTCTCTGCAAGAAATTAAAAGAGCAAATATCACAAAATATTGAACTATTGTTTTAAGTCTGGATTAGGTTCACAATACGACTCTTGGTGTTTGTCCCAGCAGGGTCTTCATGTCCAACAGTGCATCCTCCATGGCTTGGATTAGATGGGCTGCATCAGTTTCTTTGCAGGTGTTGGAAGCTTCCAAAGTGGTGACGATGATATAAATGTGATCATCCATAATACTATAGTACATACAGTATGTACCAGGTTGTTCAGGGCCAACACATGTCCAGCCAAACTTGGACATCACCTTTTGAACAGGGACAGAAGTAAGTATGCAGTGGTTAGTTACTGTTGTAGCACTGGGACCTCTGACATGTCTGTCTGTGAGATTAAGTTAATCTTTTGTGGCTAAGGAAGCATTTTCAACAGTGTATGGCTGTCACCGTGACAAACGTCTTGTTATAACCATAGACTGTTTAAAAGATGTGGGAGTAGCCACTGTGATGTCACCCATTGGTTTGGCATTTCAACGGCTGCCATCTTGTTACCATCTTTGGACAAGTGGGTGCAGCAGGGAAGGGATTATGCAGTGCCACCCCCCAAAGCTTTTCCTGCTTTATCCTCTATTTTACTCTAAATGGGACCATAATTTACAAAGTGAACATCATGGTGTATTGAAGAAGACTTGAAACTAGTGATTGAGAACAAACTCTTCAGGAAAGTGTTTATTGAGGTAAAAAGTAGGAAACAATATTTACTTTATAGGCATATTTATTTATTAATGTATTTATTTAATGTCAAAATTAAATGGGAACCATGTCTGCCTTAATAAAATCTTGTCTCCAAGACCATCTGAACTCGGAGAATATATCTGGCATGTAACCAGATATTCTCTCTCTGTTCTGTACAGTGTACATAAGGCCCAACCCTATTTTACATGATTCATTAAAACATTAAAAAACAAAAACAAATTAAAATGAAATGAAACAAATACAGGATTATAGGGCAAGATGGTTTATAGTGAGTACTTCAGGTTCAGTCAAAGGCCAACCTAGCATCACGCAAAGGTGTGTAATACACTTGCTTGTCCACCATGTCAATGTCGACAATGTAGACATACTGACGTCATAGTGAGAGTACGGCCCTGATATATTTTCTACATGAAACGTTCCCTGAAACAAATCAATATTTTATTTCTTGTTTGGTTTTCTGATAACAAAAACAGACAAATGTGTAAATGACAACTATATGATGAATATGGCTGCATTGAAACACGGTGATGGTGATCACAGAGAGCAGGAGGAAAATGAACAGCTTAATTGGCTGCTGCTCATGAAGTAACAGGGTTGTCTCTGTAGCCATCTACAAAATTGACTTTTGGGAGCACATGCTGCCTCCCCATTATTTCTTTGACTTTGGCATCAGACTTCAGGACGCAGAATATAACCTATTTAGAACATTTAAACTAGCCATCTGGATTTTGACTGAGTGGAACTCAGCAGTCAGGAGTGACCCCGAGAAGACACTAAACCAGCTTTACATTGTGCACATAGCCTGGACATTAACAGCGTTTTTGTTGGGAAACTGGTTATTGTTTCACAGCGACCATCAAACTCTGAGCTAGAAGGGGAGGCACTGGATTTAATTATAGTTAACCAATTAACTTTTCACATAGTATATATCCTACTAGTGTTTCTTAAGTTATAAAATTTATATAAATTATTTTCTGTCAGTTTAAACCCTGATCCTTACCTGAGAGGTAGTGATTCTGAAGTCAAAGGCTTTAGCGTAGGAGGTGTCTGTGAAGAGATCAGGCATGGAGATGTTTTCCTCAACAGCCTGCATCTTAAGACCCAAGAGGTGTCTGTATATCATCTGTCCGCTGACTGCCTGTTAGGATCATAGTGAAAGTCGTAATGCTTGTAAACTTTTCCTAATATATTAACAATAACAAACACACAAAAAATAAAATTTTAACTTTATTTTATGAATCAGATTTTTACAAGCATTTAGTGAGCCTGAACAACAGGTGTTGCTGAAAGGCATTTTCACACTGATAATAAACTGGACCTACACTGAACTAAAGTATTGAGTGGTTCTGTGAATGAGACTCACCATGTTAGTGCTCTTTTTGTGTGCTTTGAGCGCTTTCTCCAATAAATCAACCTTCTCTGAGTTCTGTGCAAAACAGGAAGAAAACAAACTTTACAACTTGTCACAGGTCATTAAAGATGAGGTGGGAGGCAACAACACCTTCTAGTGATTTTTGAGGGTGGGGTGACAGCCAGTTTGAGTGTTTGTGGGAGTGAACCAGAGGTGAAGGAGCTAGATATTCTGATTCTTCATAAAATAGAAAAAACTTTGAGTAGCCATTGAGTTACATTAGAAGTTTCCGGTTCATCAGACCTGTTTTTTGGGATTGTCAAAGGCCTTGACAAGGGCAGCTGATGCACTCGAGGTTGAATTTATAATAGCTAGACGGCCGAGTCTGAAAGTCCGCAGGGACACAGGTTCCATTATTGGACAGCACCGCTGGTACATCCTGACAAAAGAAAGGGGAGAAATATTTTCAACAAACTCCGTGTCCCAACATAATTACGTGACTTTCTACATAACAGCAGGATATTTGAGGATTTTCAGTCATGATTTCCATAGCACAGAGACAGCACTGGTGAAAATTACAAATAGCCTTAAAATTGCATCAGATAAAGGACTTTGTGGTCTTAGTGCTACATTTAACATTTTGACCATCACAAGCTATAACAAATGCATTTAATTGTTAATTAATGAACTGCTCTACGCTGGTTTAAGTCCTATTTATCATATGTTTGTACATTCTAACCATAAATCCTCTATGCATGACAAAGTTGGTCATGTTGGCTGAACTTCTAGCATGCCTTAAAGATGAAAAAACCTGGATGACCTGCAATTTTCTTATAACACTGACAAAACTGAAGTTATTGTACTTGGCCCCAAACACCGAGATGCTTTGACTAAAGATATAGTTACTCTGGATGGTATCGCTCTGGCCTTCAGCACCGTGGGGAACCTCATAATTATCTTTGATCAAGATATGTTCTTAAACTCCACAACAAACTTCTAGGACTGCCTTTTTTTCACCCACGTAAGTCCCCGAAGACTCTCCAGCTGATCCAGACTGCTGCAAACTAAACTAGGAAAAGAGGCGACGATTCTTAGCTTCTCTGCACTGGCTCCCTGTAAAATCCAGACTATAATTTAAAATCCTTCTGCTCACCTAAAATGGTTTTAATGGTCAGGCGCCATCTTATCGTAAAGAGCTTATAGTACCTTATTATCCCACTAGAACATAGCACAGAATGCAGTTACTTGTGGTTCCTAGATTCTACAAAAGTAGAATGGGAGCCACAGTGTTCAGCTATCAAGCTCCTGTCCTGTGGAATCAGGTCCCAGTTTGGGTTCAGGAGGCAGAAACCGTCTCCACAATTAAGAGTAGATTTTCTTTGATCAAGCTTATAGTTAGGGCGGGCTCAGTACACACAGTTCAACACATGCATTTAGCTCATCCTAATTAGGAGCAGTGGTGTGCAGCACCAACGCCAGATCTAGGGAGAACATTCAAACTCCACATCCCATGATGCACTGAGCTCCTCTCTTCTTCCTCTCTACCTCTCCTTCTGTATGCATTCTTCTCCCATTAATGCATGTTACTAACTCAACTTCTTCCCTCTCCAGTAGTTTTGTACTTTCGTGTCTCTCCATGAGAATTCATATTATATTACATTACGGTCTAGATCTGCTCTTGATGAAAGTAAATGAGATAACTTCTGTTATCAATTGGTTCTGTATTGATAAAATTTAAACTGAACTGAACATACAGAGCTCTGAAACTTGTTGACAGGTCAAATAAATTTGACCTGCTCTGCAAACAGAGTATCCCACATGTCCAGTGATTTTGCTGATAGCATTTGTTGATCCATTACTCAAGTTTCTGGCTGATGATAAAATACTGCCTGGGACTCCATTATTCTGTCTCCTAATGCCCTGATTTTAAGTACAGTCTGAATGTTAAAGTCTATATACAAAACAGTCCATCTCCACATGACTTTTCCAGACCTCACCTGTAGTAGGCCAGCTGTAGCGCCATCTGTACGAAAGCATTGGGGCTTATCTTGTCAGCCTTTAGGACACTTTTCCCAAAGTGAGCAAATACTGTATCCCTCACCTCCACGTTTTGGACCAGTCTGTGGGGTCAGGATGGGAGAAATCTGACTGTAAGACCTTTTTTTTTTTTAGGTAGTGTGACAGTTGACAGCATATTTGTTTGCCGAACAAATGCAATCTGGGGGGCTAGCAAGCAGGATACAGTTAGCTGAAGGCGTTGAGGTTCGGTGACTAGCTATTCAGCTACACAAAATACAGAGGTTTGTTGACACAAGCCAGACAGAGGGATGGTGACTGAGATTTATCCAAACAAACCTGTGAACACTTACAGGTGAGGAGGATGAGGAATGTCTGAAACATGATAATCCAAAATTCAGACAGGTGAGTTATCCATAAATCCAAAAGACATGAGGCATGATCCAGGAACAATAAACTAGAGTTGATGCAGACGTGAACATGAAAGAAACAATGAACCAGCACTGAGGGAGGGGAGCAAACCACTTAAGACTACTACTTAAGGGGGTGGAGGTAACAAGACCAGGTGAAACACAGTCGACAGTCAATGAGAACAAACACACAGGAGGTAAAACCAAACAAGAACACCAGGGTCAGCACCATATAGCTTAGTGTAGTAGTTGTTGTATTGTGTTGCTTTGACAGAGGGAATATCTCAAATGAATCCTTTGTTGGTATCCCTACGAATTAAATCCATTAAATCAAGTCAAGTGGTTCCACTGACGTAAGGGTCTGTTTTACTTCTATTGCTCATGCGTAGTAGTAGTCACACATGCCTAGTAGAAGTAGAGCCGTTGCCTCTGGGCGTCAGTGACCTCTTGACAGCGTAAGAGCTGTTGACTTGAAATGTTTTAATCTCAGTCAGCTCTTTTATAAAACAGGTAGAACGCAAAGGAACTTTTAATCTTTATTTATCCATAGGGCCCCGTTGGACCGGAGGAGCCCCAGACCTGCCAAACTGTTTTTGTTCTTTTCTCTGAGCTGGAGTTGGTTTAAGAACTTGATGGCTTTATCCAATTTGTTGTTAAATGTGTTATAAACTTGAATCGTGGGTCTGTTCATCATACTCACACAAGATTATGTCATGGCAGTTTAGTGCGGCGTCGCTAATCCAACCTGCTGTAGCTGGGTACAGCAGCTAAGCTGGTGCCATCCTGTGGAAAAGCCCCTTTTGGTCACATTTGCAGCAAATTATCTGTAGTCTGTGCATTTTAAGTGAGAAAATGTTGCTGCTGCATGTAGCTGTTGACAGAGCAGGATTTCTTTTATCCTGGTCACCGAGTGTCTATGTAACTATCACAAAAATTAAAAAACAAATGTCTCTCACACGTCCATGCTGTGCTTGGCTTCCTTAATGTCCTTCTTGACCTCAGGCGTGATGTTGAAGTGCAGTTTCTGGGGCACTGGCAAAGGCTCTATTGTAGGCGGCATCGTCTGTGTCTTTTCCTTGTTTCTACACAAGAGAAAATAAATTATACATGATAGTGATAGTTTTTTTTTTATAAATATCATTCTTGGCAATCCTCCTTGCTCTGAGTTCACATCCATTTTCTAGTGTCATTTTATTTGTGTGCGTTGTTTTCATGGTGGTTAGTCTCTCATTTGTTAATGCTAAGTAACTTGTCAATAATCATAACCATTCATGCAGAAACAACGCGTTCAACAACTTGAACAAATATGATAATTAAATGTGGACTCACTTAAATCATTATGTCTCTGCAGCATTGAGTTGGTTTGAAAACGCTGATAGTGAATCTCACTACTCACTCTGATGGAGTTTTGAGAGAGTAGGTCAATAAAAGCTGTCAATGCCAAGTGACACCCATTTTTATTTGATCAAAAAACAAGTTAAAAACAGACACTTGAACATACTGCATATCAATGTGATGAGAACTACAAAAAAAATACTATTTTGGGGAAAACATATTTGATGTGTAATTTTTAGTTGAACTCATGTCCCAGCAGCCAGCTTGGAGGAGCTACACTGCAACCAGCCACCAGGTGGAGATCTAGATATTCACTTGTGGTCTAGGGACCTACTTCTGGGTCTATGGTGCATGCAAGGGTGCACATGCATACTCATGTGGGTGACACGATATACATTCCTGCCAGTGGTTGCACAGATCTACAGGTGGTGGTGGTGGCCAAGAAATGCAGCAATGCTGCAACAAAAGCAGTAAACATGAACATAAACCATGCAGGTTTTAAATCTATTAGAAAAAAAATCAGCTTTGCAAATGTTTTTAAAGAAGGAAACTCAGTGATAAGAGGATTGCACTCACAAAATCACTACCAAAATGTTTTAGACGCCAAAGTTACATCTTCTTTTCTTCTGTAAATAAAATGAGTTATTGTCATCGAGTCATTATTAGTCAATAATTTAAGCATGACACATCAACTTTTGATTATTACTGAGAGCGGAGGAAACGTGACATGCATTCAGCACGTTTGTTAGACCCCAAGGTAGCACACAATGCATTTTGCTGAGTAACAATAAATGTACACAGAAACTTTTTTGATAACAAAACTCAACATGGAACATTTCAGTAGCTCTGCCTTGTAGCCATAAGTGTAAATAAAGACAAGAATTCTTCCACCTGTCCATGCAATCCACATGTCTACTGTCCAAATCAATGTGTTGACTTCATTGCTGAACTTTCAAATATGAGATGACAACAATGCATCAACACACTCACACTTACAGAAGCTCATCTACTTTCGGTCTACTTACATGTTTTCTATTACATATCCTCCCAACACCAAATGGGTTGCGCCATCAGCACAGGCATGGGAGAAGTGTAAACCACAAATTCCATCTTCTCCAATAATTACCTGGAAAAAAAAGATAAGAAACACAAACCAAATATTAGCATGACATCCAAACTCCTAATGATTCTGTTTATTACTGTATATGTGTGACTGTGTTGCCCAAGTTCTGGTATAAGACAGACCATAATCAAATATACAATAACAGCAGAGGTAACGAACAAAGCAACTGAACATAAGACAAGAAACAGGAACTGAAGTCAAGCAGACAAACTAACGGAATCTCCAACAACCGACAGACTCAGATCGAGAGAAGCACCTTACAGTCTGATCTGACATGGATAGGGAGCCAATGAAGGGAAGTTAAAATTGGTGCCTTGTTGGCAGTATTGTGATTTGTTTTGCCAATAAACAGTTTCATGCTTCTCACTGCACGTCCCTGTGGTCTAGCCATCCATAGGTGGACTGGCCATTGAGAGTACCGGGAGTTTTCCCGATCGGCTGCTGGACAATTATGACAATAAACCAAACAGTATTTAAATAGTTAGAAAAAACTGCAGTTAAAAGTTAATTGGTATGTACTTTGATCAACAGGCCCATAGTGTGCGGTTAATGGCTCCGACAGGGGCATTTTAATACGATTGCTATGCGAGTCAATTACACACTCCACATCAGAACATAATGAAACGCAAACAAAACCCTTAAACCGGTCATTTGGGCTTCAGAAATCATGGGAAAAAGACATGCGACAAAATGCCAAAATAAGTAGTCGCTTAGCTGCAGGTGTAGCAAGCAAACTGCTTCAAAACTTGTCTTTTTGTGCTGCTGCTACTTCTACCGTTACATCACTCGCAAATGAGAAAGCTAACAGTGCCACAGGTATCAGTGAGACATTAATATGATGGCTTACTTTATTTTTTGTTTAATTTGCATAGAGACTCACCACAAGTCAGATCTGTTTCTGGGTTAAGGTAAAAACTACTAAAATGATAAATGTTGGCCCTGTAATTCTTAACCTGCTGTAACTACTGTCTAGTTATGATTATTCTATTGACACCTGCATAATGGTAAAGTCATCCTCTGACTAGTACTACTAGGACAAGTATATTAATAAAGGTATATTATTAGTCTAATGCGGATTTTTTCACAAGGCCAAAAGCAGAGTCCTAAGACCCCTTCTACCATTTAATTTATTTATTAGTACTCATGTCAGGATTTGTCATGTGTGCAGACAGGAACAGATTTTAGGACCCAAACGCAGGACACAGAGGCAGAGCAGGTACAGTTTCTGGGTATTTATTTAAGCCCACTGAACTTATAGCAGAGTTCAGAATTCAACAAGGGGTAATCCAAAAACGAGGCAGAAACAAGCAGGCAGGTGAGACACAAGGCAGTGGACAAACATACAACAAACCAGCAACAGCCGAACAGAAGTCTCACACATTTAAGCGCTGGCTAACGAGGAGGGCGAGAGCATAAACAGGTGATACTAATAAAGTACAGTCAGGCAGGCAGAGAGACAGCAGGGGAAAACAGACAGATACTAACAAGTTTCAAAACACAAGGCAAGAATATAACTGGAACTCAAAACAAATACTAAATAACAGATACTGAACAGAACTAGAAAACAAAACTCACAGACCTAAACTAAACCGGGCCGACAGGCAGTGTGACAACTCAAGGGGTTAGCTGGGGTGATTATTTAACTTGAGGAGAGCTAGATAGGTTTCTAGTATTGAAAATATATTTTAATCGTTCATTTCGTGATGTACTATACTTGCATTAAATTCTCAAGACTGCAGGAAGAAAGGTCTCTTAAGACCAGAGCCCCCCCCAAAAATGCTTTGAAAAGCAAGCTGACTAGGGAAAACTCCTGTGCCATTTTTTTGCCCCAGCCATAAAACCATTTCTTTATTGCACTGATTGCATTTTTAGACTGATGCATTTATCTAGTGAGATTGTGTGTCACTGTGTGCGTATGGGTAAGTGTGTGTGTCCTGTATGGCAGTGAGAGAGAGGGTTAAAACAACTATGACAATGAGAGAGAGAAATACATTCAGTAATAAAACATCTCTTCTTACTGTTGGTTAGCTTATTCCTTATTTCCACACTAGGTGTGTGTTTTTCTGGTTAGTGAAATTGGTCCTTAGTACTTTCGCTCTGGAAAAAATGTGTTATATCACCTGCAGCCCCTTGTCAAACCAGCGGTTTCCACTGTTCCACTGGCTGCCTCCTCCAGTCTGCATCCAGTGAGTAATACTGCTGCGAGACATCTCATCAGACACTAGGGGCATCGCTTTGTCCAAACACACTGTGACGATGCTACTTTCGATAGCAGACAGTGATTCTTTGTTTTTCTTATCTGAAAAAGGACATGCACACAGAGCAAACATGTTATTATGTAGTCAGACGGCAACAGTTTAACAATTCAATTCTAAATATTTTCACATTATCTACTTAGACTTGCTTTATCTTCACGTTTATCACTTGCTGTTTTAATATTTTTAGAACAATTGCAATTGCATACATGTTATTTAGCCTCTTTCCTAAATCATATATGGGCATGGTCCGATGTCCACCTTGTTGTGTAGTTATAGACAGACACATCGACTTAAACACTATGCAAAATTGGTTTTCTGTTATTCTGTTTTCTTGTTGGTGTTGGTCTGTAGTCAACGTCCAGAGTATGAGAGGACGCTGGCGTGTATGTCGCAGCTTTTTATACCCAAATCTACCAAGTTTACTATTCTTCAAGTTGGATTTTGTGGATTGGATTATCACTGCTATGCTGATGACACCCAGTTTTACATCTGCACCAAACTGTTAACCCACCTCCCAACCATGCCACTTGTGAACTCCCTGTAGGACATTAAGACTTGAACAACTGCTACTCTGCTCAAACTCAATACAACTCAACTCATAATGGTGGCTCCGGCATCGCTGCTCAAGAAGGTCAGCAAAATGCTCCTCGACGTAAATAGCTGCTCCACCTCAAAATCCCCACAAGTCCGCAACCTGGACTCAACCCTCTCATTCCAGTCTCATATAAAACACATCAAAATTTCTCTCTTATATCTATCTATTATATACTCTATCACCACCCGTCAGGGAGAGATAAGCAGCTCGGGAAGGGCGACTGTAGAGGCAGGATAACCCGACATTTGAGACTAGCCCCTTTTCCACCGCTGGTACCTACTCAACTCGCCTCGACTCTCTTGGTAGCTTTAATGTTTTTTTTCTCACTTGTTTAAGAAGTCTAACACAGGAACCTTGCACTTGTAAATATTTTTACAAAAAGTAATGTAGATCTGCAATCAAACCCTCAGCACCCCTACTTCCCGTGACCATGCCTATGCACAATGAGTGAAATAAGTAGTTTATTTAGTTAAGTAGGTGAATTATTCACTTCTTTAGTTTGACTTGTATGAGAGCAGAGTTGTGCTCACCCTTCATTAGACTGACGTAGGTTTTGCTCCAGATGTCACGATGCTGAGAGGTGAGGATGCCGACAGGCTCCATGTCGGTCTGTAGTGAGGCGTTGCAGATCCTCTCCAGCTGAACACAGAGCTGATCAACTGTCAGCGGAGTCCCGTCACTATTGTACACATCCAGTACGAAGAACTGAATCCAAGAAGAGGAGACACATGAAAGCAAGACCGGATTACCAACTGCGCAAAGTCCCCCAAAGGCACCTCCACATTTAAGAGTAGGCTTAAGACTTTCCTCTTTGATAAAGCTTAGTTATGGCTGGCTCAGGTGAGTCCTGAACCATCCCTTAGTTATGCTGCTATAGGCCTAGACTGCCGGGGGGATTTCCCATGATGCACTGACCTACTCTCTCTTCTACTTTCTCTCCCTCTCTATGCAACCTCATCCCATTAATGCATTTTACTAACTCAACTTCTCCCCTTTCCTGTAGTCTTGTGCTTTCTCGTCCCTCTCCTCTCTCCTCCTATCACTTCCTGCAGGTGTTTCTGGCTCTGGAGCTGTGGAGTCTGGATCTGTGGTTGCGAGTCACCTGCTGCCCCCCGTGTTCCTGCTCGACACCCTCTGCTACAACTATTGTTACTAGTCCTATTGTTATTGTAGTATAATCATTAACATTACGTTTATTATCATTAACACTACTATAAATATCTGTACCATTTTTCATTTAGTCTATAGAAACATCACCTTTACTGTCTGTACCTCTGTGTGTATATTGTGTAGGATGCCTCCCTCCCCTCTCTTGCTCTCTCTCACCCCCAACCGATCGAGGCAGATGGCCGCCCACACTGAGCCATGGTTCTGCTCGAGGTTTCTGCCTCTTAAAAGGAAGTTTTTCCTTGCCTCTGTCGCCTAATGCTTCTTTGGTGGGAACTGTTGGGTTTCTGTAAATAACACGGTCTAGACCTGCTCTTTTATGAAAAGCGCTCAGAGATAACTGTTGTTGTGATTTGGCGCTATATAAATAAAATTGAAAGGCCTCAGGCTGTCTGTCTGTAAATGACTTTGTGGTAATTTAAATTAATAATGAACTCACTGTGACTCTTGGTTAGCAAACTGTTCTTCACTTCATTACATTAAGACTCAGTATGAGGTAAAAGCGTGTGTGAGTTTCTCCAGATCTGTGAAATAAAATGGCTACATGATAAAACATGACTGAACAACTTTCTTTACATGGGGTTTAAAACAAGTTCTGGTCAAAAGGAAAACTATAATTGTGGTGGAAACACAACAGTCTGAAAGAAACTATGAGGCTTTGTGCTTTTTCATGCAAAATGAGGCCAGTGAGTTTGGGGTCTTGTTCGTGAGTAATGCCTAGTGCAATAAGGCTTAAAATCGTGTGGTTTGAAAAAGACTTAAGGGTAAGAGCGTGAGATCAGCAGGTGATTTGGTGCCTCATCAACCCCACCCTAATTCCACTTTTAGCCAAATGTAGTAATTAAGTGTAATTATTAGGAGTTATAAATATGAGCGTTGGTCTCACAAAGCTCAGACACAAATGCTTGACTTGGACCAGTGATGTGGTGCTGCTCACCTGATTGTTGTGTACTACAGTGATGTGTTTGGGGGGGTTGGAGCTCCTGCCATAGAACACCAATGAATCCTCCTTCAGACCAGGGATCCGGCAGGATGATATCATCTGCTCATACTGCTTCATACACTGCGGCTTCCCTTTCATGTACTCAACTGGTAGAGCATCACTGCAAAACATACATTAAATACTTACTCAGCCAACCAATATCATATACAAATGTTACTGATGTCACTGAAATTGTCAAATTCACTAAATGTTTATAACTACTTTGAGCTCACAGCTTACCTTTATATATGAAAGAAAGTTTGAATGAAAGCAAACGGATACGGGTATAATTGGCTTTACATAAGGTGCATACAGTCTATTTAGGTGTAGCTATTTCTTTTTGTTTCATAATGATTTTACATATAGATTTTCATGCAAAATACATAGATTAGAACTGATCCACATGAAAATGAAAGTTAAAGCAAATGTCTGAACTTGATTAAACTTCTACAAATACCTTAAGTGGAAATAAACCCTATTCAAATTCTTCAGGGAACTGATTTTATATCCTTGTCATAAAATGACTTAAGACGACAACATCAACATGTCATTAATTTCAGGCAGCAGTTTAAACCTCTGACAGTTATAATGTTAATACATTTAATTTATCTGCTTCCTGTGGCATTTAATTTTTGTAGGTGAAAAACAAATACAGTGTTTAGCTTTTGTTGTATTTACAGTATTTCTGTATTTTGTGAAACAATAAATCATGACATTGAAATTAATGAACCTGTTAGAATGATAAAGATCTTATGTGTCTGGGAAAAGGAGAACATTTTAAGCTCAGTACTCACTTGTCAATCATTTTCTTTACTTCCAAAAAACCCACTATGTATTTGGCGGCAAACCTAAACAGAGAAAATGTGGTTATTCATTTAAAGGTTCAGTGTGTAAGATTTAGTGGAATCAAGCTGCGAGGTTCAGAATTGCAACGACGGTGTCTTACACAGAATAAAAGGTGTCCTCATCTGAGACAGCAGAGAGTGGCCAGTCAAAAAATGAGGTTTCTTTAGGTAGATTTATTAAGAAATTATATTTACTTAATTATTCAATAAAACCATATGTTATTGTGACTTGGCCACTGACAGATAACATGGAAAATGTAAGCCAAGAGTGTGAAACACTGTCACAGTTTCTGCACCACAGTTCATTATAACCACACATTAAATAAAGTTTATACAAACATTGACAAAGGAAACATGTTAGTTCTGTGATTATGGACCATCGCCAAAACTGCCCACCAGCAATAATATCTGGCCAGATTATGGCGCTTTGATGGCGGCCAAAAGTAAAAATAAATACTTTTAAATAATAAAGCCTTCATGGATTTTAACAAATTGTTGCTAGCAGCTGCACTCAGGCCTGATAAAATACAAGACTAGACACATGAATAGAATGGGCCTTTGCAAGTGGACTGCAGCACACGTACCTGTGCTTGTGATCTCTTTTGTCTTATTTATGTATTTAAATGTGTTTTAGGGTTTTATACTACTGTTTGCATATTGAATATGTGTGGATGTGGAGGTGGAAAAGGAGGAGCGAGACAGGACCTATTAACCAATGGAATACGGAGTTTAAGGAGTCCATACATATATGGATTTAATATATTAGTTTTATTTGCTGTGTCTTATTAAAAAGATTGCCATTACAACAAAAGGACCACACTTCATGTAGGTGTAAGTTACATACAAGAGCACGAAGTGTGAGAGAGAGGGCTCGTTAGGCCTCTGGACCAAGTCTGAGGGCTTTTCCTCCCACAACTGTCTCAACAGTGATAGTGAAAAAGCTTTAGATGTTCCACTCAACACAATTTGTCTTCATTTTGTTTGCACTGTTTTAGGCTACAAGGTGTGGGCACACAAATTAAGGCACAGTGATCAGATTATCTTTGATCTCAAGTACTTCTGTTTACAGTGTTTTGTATGATCAAGAAGTGAAAGAGAAAGTAACAGAAGGGAACCAGTAACAAAAGGAATGTCACAGTCCATCTGCTAGGGAACACAGAGGAAACTCTCACTGAAGTCTTGTCTTATTCTTACTCAAACCACCTAACCTGATCCTTTGACACCTGGGCCCTCCTTTGCCGCCGGCCTACAGAACGTTTCCACCTTTGCCACTTCTCTATAGTTTTGTTTTCCTCCATTCTTGTAATAGCTCAGCTGGCATTGTTCTGCCTGGCATCATTTACTTTTCTTCATAATGTATGGCCTTCTCCTTTCTGTTATTTCAGTAGTTTATATTGAGTTTAACTCAACAGTGCAGAAGTGTGTGTTTACCTTATCTGTTCCTGTTTATCTCTGATTTCCATCTGGGGGTAGACCATCCCGGCGTTGGACTGAACCACCGAAGAGTACCGTTTGTCAAGATAGACATACTTCACAAAATACTCTGTTAACTACAGACAGTTACAAACAATGACACACAGACAGATACAGTTCATTAATAGGAATGATGGGATTAAGTAACCTGCGATGGACTGGCGACCTGTCCAGGGTGTACCACTCCTTGCACCTGATGTCAGCTGGGATTGGCTCCAGCCCCCCCGCGACCCTGTACACAGGATAAGCGGTTGACGATGGATGGAGTTGTTGTAGTAAAGAAGCTGTTCTATGGAGCCTTTACCTGCCTTAAAGGCACATTGACATCTGGGTAAATGGGCCCATTCATGGATTATGGTTAGGGGGAACAGAGCAAGTTTTTGGCAAGCCCGGTTTAGGGAATAATGATTTTTTTGTAGCTTATTAAAGGAACAAGGTCTGACTTGTTAAAATTCAACTAGGCAATAATCGTATTGCAAAATCACTAAATGCTGCAACTGCGCTGCTTTTGATCAGATATTTATATGACTCATTTCACTGCGTGTCTCAGCATAGTGCAACATCTGTTACATTCAGCCGGCAGGAGACAGAGGCTGTGGACCCAAACGCAGACACTTAATCCAAAACACACAGGGCAGAGAAATCCAAAGGTCCAACAAAAAGTATAAATCCACAAGAGGCACAAGAAATACTGGTAACACACACAATCCACAACAATCTGGCAACAACTGAACGACAGACAACCACTTAAATACACAGGTGAGGAAGAAGCTAATTACACACAGGTGACAATCCTCAGACAATCAGAGACAGGCACCGCAAGACTAGGGCAGACTAACTACAAACTAAAAATAGTTAACTGAAACACACATGGAACAATGTTACAAAATGAAACATAACAAAGACAACATAAGTGACTTGCTAACAAAAAACAAAAGCAAAGAACACAGAGACAGTAAAACAAGACTAGAAACACTGCTGAACTCAAAACAAGGAAACCTGATGAACAAACAAGTGACCAAAGTAACATTTACACAAACTACAGAGAAGAGCAAACACAAGGGCAGGGAATGAACCCAGAAAACAAATACAAAACACCCCCGCAAACACAAACCATCAGCTTTATCAACACCATCTCTACCTTCCGGCTGGAAGGTGGAGATGTATATGTTTGTTTATGAGAAATAAACTTTTGTCAGGTGGGGTTTAACTGCAGTCAAAGTAAATGTTTTTTTACATCATTATGTCAACATTTAGTCAAGATAAGTATGATGTATTTTCTAAACTTGGAGATCCCACCAAAACTGTCTGAGCGCTTCCTCGCTGGCAGGATGTTCTAAAGGTCTGTCCCAGGTGCTGAGTGTGTTATAAACTGATGATTTACTGAATGCATTTATATGAAAACAGAATGTGTCACTCCCAGGAACATATTAGCACCTTTTTCCAGAAAATGTCTCTACAGCTGTTGGTGTAGTAGCTCACCCAGTTCTCAGTGTTGCGTGCTCTCCTCTCCAGGCCTCTCTGCAGTCTCTCTCCGACCCCTCCTGCTTTCTGAAAGTCTTTCACCAGCTCTTTTGTGCGCTTCAGCTCGTCCTCCTCCACGATGGGCTCCAGCATGCTGAGGTAGAGCTCACAGGTCTGATGCAGAGGGGGGACAGGCTGACTGGGCAGTCCCTTCTGCTGGGTCAGGTTTCTGGCAGCAACCAGAGTTGCTGATACAGGTTTAACCAAGTGACAGGGCTTCACCATCCCCACCGTTACCTGAGAGATACAAGAATGTACTCAATTACAGTATGTATTTTATGTTTTAATAACTAGTTACACTGAAATGATCGCAGGTGCTTCATCTGGATTAGATACTAAAGGCCTATACTCTAATTAATTCAGTTACAGTTATCATAATTGTGTTCAATTTTACAAGCAGAATGAAAAAAATTTAATTAGTTAAACAAAGAAGATGTACATTACATTTAGCTGATGCTTTTATCCAAAGTGACTTACAATTGCTATATATTCAGAGGTCGCACACCTCTGGAACAACTAGGGGTTAAGAGACACATTGTGGGATTGAACCTGATTCTCTCACACCAAAGGCATGTGTCTCATCCACTGCACCATCACCATACCCCAAATACAATTTAACAGAACCTTTGAGTTAAAGATTGAGTGCAATAATTAAAGTAAAATATAATAAACCCTAAGACACGTGCTCTGAAGAAGCTTCTCTTCTCTCCCTCTCTCTGTCTGTGTTGTGCTTACAGCACATCGGCTGATAAATTAATGTAATAGGAATGAATGTGCTTCCTCATTTTTTATTTCTCTTTCAGATGCTCCCCTTATTAGTTTCCTTTTTCTCAAGTAATTTCAGTAAGCTACATTCAGGACATTGTAAAAATGTCGTATTAACTGAAGGTTTGTTACTTACCAGAGCTCTGCTGCAAATTCCCAACATTGTGTTTTCAGAGAAATTCCTTTAGATTGAGATACAACACTTTGTACCTAATAAAATTTGCTTTAGGGATACAGATTGTGATGCATGGAGAAGAGCTTCTGCTATGTGAGAGGAGTTGGTAACCACTGCTCTCCTGCTGTGACGTGCGCTCAGGCAGGTAACAGCTTTTAGGACCCACTAGCAGAGTTGACCCAGCAGGATAAGTTTATATAATTTATAATAAAAAAACACATTGTATTCTAAAACCTTATGAAAGCGTGGCAAATTCCAAACAGTGTGACAAAAAGTCCAACAAAACAAGGAAATCCAAAGTACGTGTGCAACCGCGCAACAAGCAAGAATCCACAAGCAACAAAATGTGAATCAATAATACAGTATATACATGAACAAACACGTAGAGTCTCCAGGCAGACTTGCTGAGCAGGTCAAACAAGACAAAACCAAAAGACAACAATCTGACAGGGACTGAACAGAAATGAGGACAATATACACTGCCATATATCAGCCATAACATTATGACCACTGACAGGTGATATAGTAGGCAGCTGGGGCTGGGGGGGCTGTGGCTCAGGAGGTAGAGCGGGTGGCCGTTAATCAGAAGGTCAGTGGTTCAATCAGTCAGTGGTGACTCCCCCTGGTTGTGTGTCAAAGTGTCCTTGGGCAAGATTTCCGTTTGAGCACTTAGGCTCAGTGTATGAATGTATGACTGGTGAATGCAGAGTGTAGTTTACAGCAGGCAAGCATAAGGATTTGAGCAATTTCGACAAGGGGCAAATTGTGATGGCTAGACGACAGGGTCAGAGCATCTCCAAAACTGCAGCTCTTGTGGGGCGTTCACGGTCTGCAGTGGTCAGTACATATAAAAGACCGGACCGGAGACAGGGTCATGGCGAGCAGGGCTCATTGATGGAGGTTGTGATCAAAGGCTGGCCCATGTGGTCCGATCCAACAGAACTCTACATGTTTGTTCATGTATGTTGATTCACATTTTGTTGCTGGTGGATTCTTGCTTGTTGCACGGTTGCACGCTTGTTTTGTTGTACTTTTTGTTTGGATTTATTTGGACTTTGCCACGCTTCGTAAGGATTTAGAACGTAATGTCTTTTCTTTCATTAATAAATTAAAAACTCATCCTGCCGGGTCAACTCTGCTAGTGGGTCCTAAAAGCTGTTACCTGCTTGAGTAACGTCACAGTATTTGACAGGCAGCAGAGCAGTGGTTACCAACTCCTCTCATAAAGCAGAAGCTATGTGTTTTTTGGCTCTTCAGGCATACAAAATAAAATTTGAATTTAATTTTTTTTAAAAACACATTTTCAAGGAGTTTTTACATGTCCACAAAGGTGGACAGCGCGCGCATAAGGTTTTAACTGAAGAAATATTTATTTAACAAACCAATAAATAAATATTATTTATGTGAAATCTATATTTTTTAAACTAAAGTGGTCACATATTTCAACATATTCTAATACTGTTTAATGCAATACAAAAGCGTGAACTCACTTCTGACTCCTCAGCTCTTTCTCTGCATCCTCAGCTCCACTATCACTACTGCTAGCATTTGGGGTTCTCCTATTCTGGCAGCCATTCATCATCACTGCCACTATTATCCTTATCGCTATGCGTGAAAGTGAAGAGAAGGACACTTTTGAATTGGATGACTGGAGTCACGTCACACTGTTTCAAACAATCTTACTCAACTGAGTGTGATAAGGAAGTGTTCACTTTACCTCTTCAAAGACATTTTGGCATTTAGTTTCTTAATAATGCCCTGACAAAATGCATCATCCTGCAGAAACAATCTTCTCTACCTCTATTCAGGACATGTCTACAGTATACAGGCAGGAAACCTCCCTGAAGATCCATCACACCGTGGACCACCCAGGTGTAGATATTAGTTGCATCAATCTGTAGGATGATGGTTTTGATGGTGACATTGCCTTTGAAATAAAGATTTATACCAGGTGAAGGTGGGGTTTTTTTTTTTTTTTACAGTTGATTCATAGTCTTTAGCTTCTGTCCTATCAAAGGAGACCAGAATTATGCATATAGGCCTAATGGTTGGAGAGAAATTCCTGATTCATTTGGGTAAGTATTTGAGGTGTTTTTCCTGGAAATAGGTGGTAGTTATATTTAAATTTTAAATGATGATTCATGTGATTGTGATATTGTGAAGTTAATTTGTACTTTTGTTTATGTGGACTCTTTCAGCTATTTGTCTGGTAACTAACACTGGCTCAGCATCAAGTTCAAAAGTAATACAATAAAAACATTTGACTTATAAGAAATAAGCTGACCTGGTGCCTGTCAATTTATCTCAATCTTAACGCCATAGAGCCTCATAAATGTCATTCTTTAATTCAACTTGATGCCTTGAATCAAACACAAATCAATACTTAGAAACCATTCAAAACACACAACTGTACAGCTCCTCTGAGCTCTGATGACAGTTTCCACATTTAACTGTATGAACCTTCACACAGAAAATACTGTAACACAGATAAGTAGAATTATAGGGTTTAATATAAGTTATGAAAATGCAGGAAGATGAACAACAATTTGAGAGACCTGAATTTAGGATCTGATCTCCAGTCAGTGAGATGAATCCCTTATTCACCGAGTTCAAGCCCCCAAAAAGAGCCTTTGTAACAGTAGCAGCTTATTTATACTGTACATTCCAAAACACAGGAACAAGTGCTTTACACAGACAAAGAAAAACATTAGAATTACATTAAAACCAGTAAGCAGCAGAAAAACACCTGGGGGTTTATACTATTTTCATGTAAACGTAACAAACACGTGTCAAACTGTCTGCACTAGTTAATAATATATAAGTAACCATATAAAAATGTTACAAAAATCAGCATAATGTAAAAATATTGGTTATTAAACGTAATTTCTTTCTTCAAAGAAAACAACAGCACCAATGCAGAATTAGGATGAGCAGAAGAAACTGGCAGGATAGATGTCGACAAGCAGAAGCAGGAACCTCGACAATTTTTCCATCGTAGCACTTCCTCCAACAACAAACTGTCGTATTAGAAAGTCACATCTTGTGCCTTTTCCTGACAGAAACACAGAAAATTAAACAGCATACAGAAGTTATATAAGATATCAGATGCAAGTGGGATTGAGCAATATGGATATGGATCAAGCAACCCTTTCTCACTCCCAGGTCGTCACATATGGATGCATACTCAAGACCCCTTGGTGTCAGTTTATAACACAGTGGGAAGCCCTTTGGCATCATAGTTAAACGCACCGGTGGAAGCCCTGTGGCGTCATGTATGAGCTCTAAACCAGGTGTAGGATATAAATAACAAATCCATGTAAGAAGGTGGTTGGGGTGGACAGGTGGGCTAGAAACCGAACTCCCAGTCAAGACATTGTGTTTGTTTCCCGTATGAAACAAAAAGACAACATTGTTTTTAGTTAAGTTACATTAGATCCCTAAGTAACATTACATAACGTAGCTATTTTAAACCAAACCATGATGTTTTTCTTTACCTAACCAAATAGTTTTGGTGCCTAAATTTAACCAAATTGCGACGTTTCACAACGTTAACCACTAGTTTTATTTTGAAAGTGTGACATGACTTTGCATATTTTAGCATTTTGCATTAAAGTTTTATCGTGGCTAACTTGACCACAGAGCTCTTCACACACATCCAAAAAAGACGCTAAAGGGGTACACCAGGCGTTAAAAAGTGACGCCAAGGGCTCTTGACCAAGTGACCACATGTGGCGAGTTGGGAGTGAGAATGTGTTGATTGCTGCTACTTGCCACCAGGCTCAGGCCCATCCTACATCTAGAACATGGTCAAACCATCCACCCCAGCCAATGCACTACGCTCTGCTACTGCCAATCAGTATGCTGATCCCTCACCATGAGGGGGGTCCAGCTAACGCTCTACAAAATAACGACTGCTTGCAGCCCTGGCTCCACAATGGTGGAACACGTTCGCCATTGACATCAGGACAGCACAAGCTCTACACAACTGTTCAGATGTCGCACTTGAAACAGTTTTTTTGACGAGTGTTGCCATTTTGGATTGTTATCTACATGACTGAAAGGCACTTAATGCAAGCTGCTTACAGCGTGGCTTTAATAACTGCAATTTAAAACTTTATCTTATATCAAGATGATTTTGTGAATATGTCAATTTGAAACTAATTTGAGAAAAACTTTATAAATCAAATAATAAATAAAGAATACTAGATACTAATGATGCAACTTTCTATAAAACACCAACAACAACTTGAAACATCCAGTCAGCTCACAGTTTGGAAGTTAGATTCTTATCTCCTGGATAAAGTAACAATATATGTTATAATGGTCGCCAGTTTAAATTACTTAAAATTGGTTTATAAATTCATCCAAAATTGAACTGATTTAAGCTGCAGATAGTAAAATCAGTTTTTTAACACTAATCTTACTTTCTGCCATTAGCAACACATAGAACTGAATTTTTTTTATTGAATGTTTCTTGTCAAAATGCACTTCAGGAGTCTTAGTTAACTACTTCTCACTTTAACATAAATTCTGCTTCATAATACAGGCTCATTCTATGACAGTAGCTATATTATAAAGGTGCAGAGGCTCTAACATGTGCAGTTGTTTTGATCTTCCAGAAAAGAAAGCTGATTTTGCTGTCCACATACAAGTGACAGAAAAAATCAAATGTAAGTACAAGTTTTAATGACGTTCACAGCTTCACCAAAATATTGCAAAGAGTGTATGCAGGACATGGGTTTGACTCACAGATTGAAAAAATCACCATAACTTGTCCCAATGGTCCTTCTCTGAAACCGCTGATGAGAAGAGTTCTAAGACGTTCTTGCAGCCTGCAGTGAGTAAAAATCCTCATTATGATGCTACTTGTAAGTACTGAAGTAAACATTACAGTCAAGAGAAACATATGCTGAACATGTTGCAAAGGCCCTTGAGGCAAATTTGTGATTTATGATCTATGGTTATATACTGTAAATAAGTACAAAGCAAAGAGGATATGCATATAATGTGTGACTGTACAATATTTCAACCAAACTGAGCCCTAAAGTTTTTTTTACCTGTTTCTGAAGAGACTATGCAACAGAGAGGCATTGCTGATTTCAGGGTACCCCCAGGATTCTCAAAGTCAAATTTAACATTTTTAATATCACTAGGATGAAATTTAATACCATCTTCACTGCCGTATAATGAAAATCTGTATGAATTTTAAGCCG